GACACGCCCAGGCCTGAGTCTGTCGAGTGTCGCTGTGTGACCGAACGCCGCACACAGGAAATTCAAGAGTCAAAGTCAACTGTAGAGTCAAAGGTACTGCACCCAGGCCCTGGGTTGGATACACTCACTTGTTGTGCGCAGGTACCCAGACAGCATCCAGGCCCGAGGGAATTCGGTTTCAGGCCGATCTGAGCCCTCATTCGCATTGAAATCTGGACGGCCGAGGGATACATGAGGGATACCGCATCCGGGGTCCAGACCCCACGTCAACACTACATAAGAGTTGACTTCCTGGCTTTGACATTCATTCTGTCTTGCGTTGAGGCTGACTTTACGCGTTGACTTCAACGCTGGCTCGACGCTGTGACACTGGCATTGTGATTGGCGAGGCGCTGCTGGTCTGGCATTTTGTCTTTTATTGTCACCACTGACGCAAGTCAGTATGGGATTGGCGCTGTTCATGTTTGCGAGACTGGTGTATGAAAACAAGATGACGGCCCATAGAGTTCATGTTTGCGAGACTGCTGTCTGAAAAGGTTGCCAACTCCACCTATGAAAAGGAGTTGTACGCCTTAGTCTATGCACTAAACACATGGAAACACTACTTGTTAGGGAAGCACTTCACTGTGTACTCCATGGCTACGATCCGGACCACCGGACAGGGATCCGGACCGTCCGTGGTCCGGGGTCCGGGGTCCGGGTCCGAATGTTGGTCCGGATTAGAGGGCCCCAACACAAGGGGCAAATTTTTTTTGGGCGGTCTAGGGCTTTTACTCAGGCCCTGGGCCGCCCATAAAAAATCGCGCCAAGATTTTTGCCGCCGTCGGCCACGAACCGGAACGGCCGAAAAGTGGCCTGGCGGGTTACCTTCACCTTTTTTTTTTTTTTTTGAACCGTTGTGGGGGGGTGTTTCGCGCCCGCTGCTTTCCAAACGCACCTGCCCAGTCGTCGAGCGTCGTCGTGGAGAAGCTTCGTCGGCTCTGCTGTGCTGCCATCGCCGGGTGAACTCGTGGAGAGGCGCGCGCGGCAAGGGGAGGCAAGCGTGGGGGGGTGAGCAGCTGCGCAGCGACCAGCGTGCGGAGAGGCGCGTGGAGCGGCGAGCGGCACGTGAAACAGGTATGGCTCTCTCTCTCTCTCTCTCTCTCTCTCTCTCTCTCTCTCTCTCTCTCTCTCTCTCT